TTAATATTGGTTTGCGAGTGATTACCAGTCTTTCGCAAATGGCGGCATTTGGCTTGCAGCCCTCGCCGTACTGTATATGGGCAAAACACATGTCTGCGCTGGAAGCCAGTACATGTGCTGTTAGTATATGTAGTAAACAATTACCTATTTTATAACACTGTCTGTCAGCAGTGTGTAAATATAATCTGATTAACCTGCGGTGGTAGCTGGACTTTAGCCAAATATTCGCATTAAATGTCGGTTTGAGTCTACAGACAGTCGAACTTACCCATATACTCTAAGTTAGAGATTACATTCTGAGGAAATTAAAGAGCTAAAATTAAAAAAAGTCGGGGTATCTAATAGAAAGCACACAGAGGATCCGTTTATGAACCAAATCCCTCGCAGCCGTGCTATTTAGATAAACAATGTTTATAAAATATGCTCGAGCTTTTATCTAGTATGTACGCTTCAAGTATAGGAAATAGTTACATAAAATAAATTAAATCGGAGTGTGCATGGACGTTAAAGGTGGCAACCCATTCCATTGAGCTATGTGTGAAACCGAGCTCATTGTATCTTTGAACACAACGATTGAACATTCGATTATTTCCCTGATGAGCGCCGACTCATTTCTATCGGGCTCGAAGTCGCACCATGATCATCATCATGATCATCATCATCGTCATCATCCACAACAACAACAACAACAACATCATTATCAACATCATAATCTTCATCCTGAAACCGTCTGAAATATGCAGTAAAAGATGCTTTCCTGTCTTTTTTCCAAGTTCATACGTTGGCAAAAAATTGCGTTATACATTGAATAATAAATTTGTCTAAGCAGGCACATTGTTGCAGTAACGTTAAATAGCAGCATATGCGCCGATAGTAGCGGTAATATCGGACATATGTAGTTTTTAGTTCGAGTTTTTCCTTCCAATCGCTGACTCAATATATCGTTATACTCTCCTACGTCTAGCTAGTCCTTAGTTGTCCTCCATAAGGGGATTTTTCAGCCAGGTGCAGTAGGCAGACGAAGGAAAATATTAAGCAAATGACATACTGTAAAGAATCATCGCTTCCTGTCTCGACACTCCAGGGCGTAGAACCTTATAGGTCCCACCGGACAACGTGTTAGTGTGTGGAGAGCCCCATGCAACCTGGAGTTTTTGGCCCGAGGGCTCGTATTGCAAATGACCTGACGTTTGAAAATGACTCAGGTATTTGTCCAGGTCAGCGTAGGTTATGTAACAGACGCGTTTGCCATCAACGCACCACCGGCTGCCGTCTGCGAAAGCTGTGCAATCAAACAGGAGAAAAAGAAGAGTCATCAGCAGGGAGCAACAATCTAAGCTGGGGACCTGAGTGGTCAAGCATCGGAAATTCTAAGATAGATCGAATGATAGACTTATTGAGTCATTAATTGGCTTCAGGTTGTACACAAGCCGTAAAATATGCGACGACAACACATGACACATCGGAACTCAGCAGTCAACCGTATGATTATGAAACATGTAGGATCATTTAGTATCTGAGGCAAATTGTATGCATCACTGGTAGTCCTGCATACAGGAAGTCCTACCCTCCCCCTTTGCTTACAGCTTACTGGTCTATTCATTAGTAGTGTGAAACAGGGGATCTCACCTGACAATGCCAGCCAAAAACCCTCGTGGATTTTGATGAGTTACGGTATTCCCGGGGATCGACGTGTCCAGATTTCCACTGGTGCACATGGGGACCCGTAAGTTGACTAACCACCTGATTTAGCGTAACCCCGTAGTAACTACTGGAATTTGAACGGTGTCAAAGAATCAGACACCCAACCTGCCATGTGGTGCCAATTTGCTGTTCGACTACGTGAATCGGGCCCTGTAGCCTAAAGTTTGCAAGAACCATGCATCGATTTCCACCTTCATTACAGTGCCATCACGAATAAAGAAAAAAAGCCAATGTACGCGCAGTATGCAGGCCGGCGCACCAAACGCTTATAATGTGGAAAACGACCTCGGTCCGTATGGGTACAGAGGCAAAATTTTCAACACAAGTGTTGCTCAGCAGAAAAAAATTGATCGCTGAAACGATATTTATCGAACTGAATGTTTTGATCCGAATCGGGACCATCGCAATAATCAGCACACAAAAGTCCTTTCTGAAGGGTAATTGAGAAGACCGTCTACAACTGAATTGCCTTCACCAGAAATATATTAATTACCTCGGTTTGTCGGGGAAGTAATACGTTCACATGTCAAACGTAGATAATGCGCAAGACCTACACAGAGAAGCTGTTATTTGAATGTAACTGATAGAGGATGTTTTTGTTCCCAGGTGTCGTGTAACGTGGTATTCGGCTGCATGCATCGTCAAACGATACCCTCTGTAGGATTCAATGCGGTCGGCAAATAATTTCAGTGTTTAAAGGGCCCTGGACAACAATAGCTTATGTGGGCCCGCTAATTAATCCCTACTCCCTGTATGTTTTCCCACGGAAAACGGTAGCTATAGGGTTTTATGGGTGAGGAATTAGGACACGCAATGGAATGTACATACTTTAATAAATTCTTAATGTATTTTTATTTTACTGTATTAAGAAGTCTTGTTGGCTTCTATCTGTAGACTTTCCTAACCTCTATTATCATTCAACTTCTTGAGGAAAAACCCGATTATCAAATTGCAGGTTTCTTGAATTTCCCGAAAAATTGAGATGGTGGAAAAACCCGATTATCAAATTGCAGGTTTCTTGAATTTCCCAAAAAATTGAAACAGTGGTTAGGAGGTCGTCTACTTCACCTTACCTGAGGTTCAACTTATCGTTCCGGAGTTAGATTAGTATAGTCCGCGGTGCGAAGCGCCGCGCACACCTTCAAGTTACATGCAGAACAACTTACTTCCAGCGGTCGCTGGAAGCAATTTCAACTACATTTCTTTACTTTACACTTCGAAAAATTTCCTTCTCTGCCTATCCTATTTCCCCACCCCCCAAAATTCTATAGTCATCGTTTTTGCAGGACAAAATGTTGGGACTAGGGGTATATGAGTGGGCCTAAATAAGTTAGATTTGCCGGGCCCTGTAACATAAACGGTAGCTACTACTGTTTCTGCTAATGGTTCCGATGAAGAATCCGCGACGGATGTCGAAACGTAACGTGGACAAAGGTCTTGTCCTCGTGATCAAATCATTATCATCTCGATAACTGTTTTTTGGAATTTGCGCAGAGTAACGTTTGCCGTAATTTATACACCAAGAATCTAAAATACAACCCTAAAGTCACTTAGTGTACGATTATGGCGTTTAGAAGAACCCTTTACCAACAGTTCAGCTTGTCAGCGCTGAATGCGTTCAGCGTGACATGTACCGCAGCTGATCCGGAACAAACACATGTGTATGACTACCCCAAGTCTACTGCAACTGGAATCCAAAAAGGAAGCAAGGTGGATAAACCTTGACTCCTATCCGCAGTCCACAACAATTGGTTCCGGATAATTTTAGGGCGGTTTAGTATTACATTTCTGCAACTGTCTCACACGTAATTCCTCTCATGAGACTGAAAAGCAATCTGTGGATCCTTATTTTTTTCAACACAATATAAGGGACGGTAGTCTCCGACTGCAAGACCGCTGGTCCACCGATTGTGTCAGCGAACATATCCCAAGTGCCCTCCTTAACCAAGTGCGCAGCTCCAAACACGAGGGGAAACTAGGCTGACTTGACGGGGCAGTACGCTTTGGACGTATTGGTAAAAAAGTATACTTCCATTACAAGGCAGTTCCATAACCCACGTCTGATTTACCGTTCAATCCAATCAAAAAATCGCCTTAAGAACATCCCGTAGACTCAAAATATGTGCCAATCTGGCGAATTTAGTCAGGACGAACTGTTAATGAGTACTAATCAAAGTCTGCATAAAGGGCGAAAATATGAATGCTGGTGTGGAACAACACGGTGTCATCTAAGTCTGTGATATATTCGGAGCCGTGAACGTCACTTCATTCTACAACGGCTTCTAAGTAAAACAAGCCCGTCCGTGACAGTAGACAACATTGATGGTATCCTTCAGTTTGCAGGCTCATTAAGGGAAACGCACTCTGCTTTCGACCGACTGGTCCCCTCTGTCCGCAACTTCAGCCTATGATTAAGCTTAAGGCTACTGGTACTCGACAGATTCTTAATGACTGATGACAAGAAACTCGCCGCACTAAACAGGTTTGTATATCGTGATTCCGCTAAATTACGGGCATTTATGCGACTGTATAATAACGCAGACTCCATGAGGATCTTCACGGCTATACGTTCTTAAGATTCGCACCATTGATACACAACCTTTAAAGCAGACGTTTGTCCCCACAAAAAATGAGGAAATAAGGTTGGTTTTACATGGCCAAATCAAACATAAACATCCTTTGCACGATTTACCACCTCCTGACAGATCCGCAAGCGATAGCCGCGTAAATAACACACATGAATTAGCTGAACCTTTTCATCCTGCTAGTCAACATTGCAACCGCACTTAAGTAAACAGTTCGGAGAATGCCCTATACATCATTTCGTGGTTCCCATGTGTTCAGCGGGGTACCGATAACACGCAGGTGGTAGAAAGTCATGAGTGGAATTTGTCCAAGTTAATGAGACTTACGTAGCTTTAAATTAATTTTAATCTTCTGAGAGTAAAATTCCGCCACAGCGAGACGGACCTTAGATGGTGGAAACAAAGATCGGGCACTGAATGCACCGAGTGACACACAGCCGGTGGCAGCCTTGGCCGCCAAAAGGAACTGAACAGACAGTGGCAAAACAATAAAACCAGAATGATCATTACTTTCAGCCATACTATCCTATGCAGGTTTTTCACGAGCTATCAAAGCTGCCTCACAATTAAGTCGGTTGTAGATTCCATGTGTGTTAGTTCGACCATCGCAAGGGAAGTTGTCCACCATTTTCCCGAAAGCAGGTGACTGTGGTCAGGTATAGTGAAAATAGACACGCCGCGATCTACCCCACTCTAACCCATAACCGCTTTCACCGGTGACAAGACCGACGTCGAGATGACCAAAGTAGGCTTTGGGCGGAAGCCGCTTTCTCCAATGCAGCCTGAAACATCGTCTAAACTCGGCCTTTAGCGACAGTAGACTTTGCGCGGGTACTTCTGCACTGTCTACCCTCACTCACCTACAGTAGGGGTCTAGGCTGACTTTAGTTAGCCAGGATTAGCACTGCTACTACCAATACTGCTACGCCTAATACTACTTAATAGGGTGTAGCTTAGTGATAGTATTTGCCGGTACTACTACTGATTGTTTTGTAAGTCAGAAGTGACGCTGATTAAAGTCAGCGCTGGGCTCATATCCCCCTCAATCTCGGCAAGGAGTGCAGTAGAACTGGTGCTGGCACTGACGCCACCATCTGTCAGAGGTGACAGTGATTAAGCCAATGCTAGGGAATTATATCCCCTTGGTCGCAACAAGGAGTATGACTCTGGGTTTAACTATTTCGGGTAAGCACATGCTTGTGGTCCTGAGCACATTAGCATTTGCCTCGGTTTCCGCATCCTCAACTCTATCCATTGAGCTGTGTACGTTTCTACTAGGTACGGGCTAAAATACTGCTGCTATAGGTACGTGCCTATACTAAAAGTGCTAATTTCTAGCAATAATGCTTACTAAGGCCAGTAGATAGTATACTATAAGTACTGCATGTGTGTGCTTTGTAAGGAGTGACACCCAGTTTGCACTCCATGTACTTGTGACGCGTTTTGTGCCCCCTAACCGGGCCGCGTGGTACATGTGCTGGATCTAAACGAGGCCAGATCAGGACAGGGCAGACGTTATTAGG